CTTCCCTGCACAAGTTAACTCCATAAATCCTCTCTCTCAAGTCAGTCTGCTATAAACACACCTTAAATTCCTAATAAAATTAATGTTCACATTTATTGTTTACTCCCCCAGATTTAATCTCCCAAAATATACAGAATGAATCTCACATTGATAATACCAACACAGATTATAGAACAGCCCATATTCCTCACACTCATTCTACTTAGTTCTAGTCAATGGTCTAACATAAGACTCTGGTTGGAGTCAAAGTCTCTTCTCTACGCTTACCCTCTAGTACTGATAAGACTTTCTCAAGTATCTGTTACATTAGATTCTCTTTATCTCTAGTTAATTATTGTATAAAAATTTCTTATATTTTGTCTTCCATGCATTCCACATATTGTTGTTGTTGTTGTTCAGTTGCTAAGTCATCTCTGACTCTTTGTAACCCCATGGAATGCAGCACGCCAAGCTCCTCTGTCCTCCACTCTCTCCCTGAGTTTGCTCAAACTCATGTCCATTGAGTCAATAATGCCATCTAACCATCTCATCTCTGTCATCCCCTTCACTTCTCCCCCTCAACCTTTCCCAACATCAAGATCTTTTCCAATGAAACAACGGCTCTTCACATCAGGTGGCCAAAGTTTGGAGCTTAAGCTTCAGCAACAGTTCTCCAATGAATATTCAAGGATGATTTCCTTTAGGATTAATTGCTTTGGTCGTGCTGTCCAAGGGACTCTCAAGAATCTTCTCCAGCACCACAATTCAAAACATCAATTTTTTGTCTCTTGGTCTTGTTTATGGTCCAACTTTCACATTCATACATGACTACTGGGAAAACCATAGCTTTCACTATATGGATCTTTGTCATCACAGTGATGTCTCTGCTTTTTAATACTCTGTCTAGGTTTGTTATAGTTTTCCTTCCAAGAAGCAAGCGTTTTTAAATTTTCATGACTGCAGTCACCATCTACAGTGATTTTGGAACCCAAGATAATGAAATCTGCTACTGCTTCCACTTTTCCCCCTTCTATTTGCCGTGAAGTGGTGGGACCAGAGGCCATGTTCTTCCTTTTTGAATGCTGAGTTTTAAGCCAGTTTTTTCATTCTCCTCCTTCACCCTCATCAATGGATCCTTTAGTTTCTCCTTGCTTTCTGTCATTAGAGTTATATTATATGCATATCTGAGGTTATTGATATTTCTCCCAGCAATCTTGACTCCAGCTTGTGATTCATCCAGTCTGGCATTTCTAATGATGTACTCTGCATATAAGTTAAATAAGCAGGGTGACAATATGCAACCTGATGTATTCCTTTCCCAATTTGGAACCAGTCTGTGGTTCTATGTCTGGTTCTAACTGTTGCTTCTTGACTTCATACAGTTTTCTCAGGAGATGTGTATGGTGGTCTGTTATTCCCATCTCTTTAAGAATTTTCCTGTTTGTTGTGACAGACAAAGTCAAAAGAGTTTCTCGTAGTCAATGAGGTAGAAGTAGCTGTTTTTCTGAATTCCCTTGCTTCCTCCATCTCCATGATCCAACAAATGTTGGCAATTTGAGCTCTGGTTCCTCTCCCTTTTCTAAACCCAACTTGTACATTTGGAAATTTTTGGTTCTCGTACTGCTGAAGCCTAGCTTGAGCATGAATTTGCTAGCATGAGAAATGAGTTCAATTGTATAGTAGTTTGGACATTCTTTGGAATTTCCCTTCTTTGGGATTGGAATGAAAACTGACCTCTCCTAGTCTTATGGCCACTGCTGAGTTTTCCAAATTTGCTGACGTATTGAGTGCAGCACTTTAATAGAATCATCTTTTAGGATTTGAAATAGCTCAGCTAGAATTCCATCACCTCCACTAGCTTCTTAGTGATGCTTCCTAAGGCCCACCTGACTTTGGACTCCAGGATATCTGGCTCTAGGTGAGTGATCACACCATTGTGCTTATCTGGGTCATTAAGACCTTTTTTGTATGGTTCTTCTGTATTCTTGCCATCTCTTCTTAATATCTTCTGCTTCTGTTAGGTCCCTACCATTTCTGTCCTTTATTATGCCCATCTTTGCATGAAATATTCCTTTGGTATCTCTAATTTTCTTGAAAAGATCTCTAGTCTTTCCCATTCTATCATTTTTCTCTATTTCTTTGCATTATTCACTTATGAAGGCCTTATCTCTCCTTGCTTTTCCCTGGAAATCTACATTCGGTTGGGTATATCTTTCCCTTTCTCCTTTGCCTTTCACTATCTTCTTTCCTCAGCTATTTGTAAGGCCTCCTCAGACAATCACTTTGCTTTCTTACATTTCTTTTTCTTGGAGATAGTTATGGTCACTATCTCCTGTACAATGTTATGAACCTCTGTCCACAGTTCTTCAGGCACTCTATTTACCACATCTAATCGCTTGAATCGATTTGTCACCTTCATTGTATAATTGTAAGGGATTTGATTAGGCCAAACCTGAATGGCCTAGTGGTTTACCCTATTTTCTTCAATTTAAGTCTGAATTTTGCAATAAGAAGTTCATGATCTGAGCCACAGTTAGCTCCCGGTATTGTTTTTGCTGACTGTATAGAGCTTATTCATCTGTGGCTGCAAAGAATATAATCAGTCTGATTTTGGTGTTGACCTTCTGGTGATGTCCATGTGTAGAGTCATCTCTTGTGTTGTTGGAAGAGGGTGTTTGCTGTGACCAGTGAGTTCTCTTGGCAGAACTCTGTGAGAATTTGCTCTGCTTCATTTTGTACTCCAAGGCCTAACTTGCCTGTTACTCCAGGTTATGTCTTGACTTCCTACTTTTGCATTCCAATCCCTTATGATGAAAAGGACATCTTTTGCTGTTCTAGACAGTCTTATAGCTCTTCATAGAACCATTCAACTTCAGCTTCTTTGGTGTTAGTTGTTGGTGAATAGACTTTGATTATTGTGATGTTGAATGGTTTGCCTTGGAAATGAACTGACTTCATGCTGTTGTTTTTGAGATTGCACTCAAGTACTGAATTTCAGACTCTTTTGTTGACTATGAGGGTTACTCCATTTCTTCAAAGGGATTCTTGCCCACAGTAGTAGATACAGTGGCAATTCTCGTAAGTAAAATTTTTGGCATTGTAGCCCAGCTAGTCCATTTTCTGCTCTTCTCTTTGTATTTATATAAACTGGTAGCTCCTCTCATCTTTCTTAGCTACATATTCTTTTTCCCCCATCACCAAGACTATTGAATCTGCTTCATACTAGAGAATTCTTTAGGCCATTAGGATAGCTTTTTCATGGTTTCCCATTTTAGCTCAGGAGAAGAATTCTCTGAAGATTTATGAAGAACTCCTGTTCTGATGTTTTCCAAGCATCTTTTCTTGTAGTTCAGTGAAAAGCAAAATCTTTATCCCCATGTTCCTCCATTCTCAAGCATTAAGTTTCTATACCTTTCCACTTCCATGCTATGGCAAAGATCAATTTCTGCTTTCCTGCTATAAGAATAAGACATTCTTTACTTCCTCAAATATTTCCCTCTCAATTTAATACTTCAAGATTCCTCTGAAGTTTGTGCCCATTTTCACTTATTCTTTCTCATATGCAGCATTAATCCTTAGCCTAAGTTCAAATTTTTTCACTTTGACATATCAATTCCTAAAGGCTTTTTTTGACAGAAGACACAGTTACCCATCATCTGTGAGGTCTTTCTACAAACTATCAACTTCTCCAGCATGAATCTCTCAAGTGGAGTAAGAATTTGCAGTACACTATTCATGCCTGGAAAATCCCATGGACCGAGGAGCCTGTGGCGCTACAGTCCATGGGGTTGCAAAGAGTCGGACACGACTGAGCGACTTCATTTTCACTTTCACCTTCATAGATGCTTAATGCCACAGAATGAAACCTGATTGGTGCTTCTGGAAGGTACCCACAATTCAGGCTTCCAGACCTCTTTGTGATGGAAATCTATTAAACTGTTTTCCCCTCATCTCCAAACACTGTATCTAGCTAACACTAACACTAGTCCTATGCCAGACTTTGAAAAACCTGGAGGTCATTGATCATTTTGTTTTATAATATTCATGCAAATATAGATGATTTAAAATATCCCAATGCTATTTTCGAAAGCTCAGCTTATTTTTCTTTGTTTTTTTGTTGTTAAATTTCCTTCCCCACTCCCTAAAATGAACTAAATATAATTAAAAGTTTATTCTATTCACTTCCTGTCATCTCTTTCCTCCTAGCTACCCCACCTACCTGAAAATTATCTCCTAGACAGCATGAGAGCCATGGTACCATTTTCAACTACTACTACTGCCTTACCATCCCCTTTCTACGGTAGCTGAGAACCAGTTTCACATTGGGAAAAATTTGGCTTGCTCCCATTATATGACCATGGGAAAATTCTATAACTTTTCTGAGTCATACATAAAATTATGATCGTAGTTACTACTTAGTTCATAGGATTACCATTGTGATCAAATGAAATAACCTATATCAGACAAATAGGAGAGTCTAATCTCCCTCTACTTTAAAAAATGTAATTAACTGACTCATCAAAAGGTAGACATCAAAACACTGAATTTCTATACCTTGATCAGAAGACTTTAAGTAGCTAATCTTCAAGTTGTAACTAGATGCTTATATTAATATTAATGATACAATCTAGTGATTTATTACACCCCTGATGGCTACTCCTTCTTTTTTCATAATTAGGAGCTAGAACCGAAAACATCACGGAGACCAAGTTGAGTACTACAAAAGCAACAGTGATAAGTCAATCACTTTCAAATGCTGTTTCCACATCACAAAGTTCCGACTCCAAGAGTAAGTATAAGAATCTGTGCTGAAATGTTAAACTAGTATATTGGATAGAACTAAATTCAGAAAGTTTTCCAGCCCACACTTACCAAAGAGCCGTGTCTCACTTATATTCTTCCCTTGTTGTTGTTGCTTAGTTGCTAAATTGTGACCAGCTCTTTTGTGACCCCGTGGACTGTGGCCAGTCAGGCTCCTCTCTCCATGGGATTTCCCAGGCAAAAATACTGGAGTGGCTTGCCATTTCCTTCTTCAGGGAATCTTCCTGATCCAGGGGTCAAGCCCACATCTATTACACTGGCGGGTAGGTTCCTTACCACTGAGCCACAAGGAAAGCCTGTGTTCTCTCCTAATCTCTACAAATAAGACAGTTTGGCAACTTTGCTTTGTATAGTGACACTCTACCCCTCCATAGCTACAAATAAATGGATGCCAAGGAGGATCAGTTGAGGCCTGGGTGATAATCTATGATATCACCTAACACAAAAAGTAAGGTTGGCCAAAGCATTAGACAACTTTGATGAAATAGGAAAAAAAATTAGAAAGGAACAAATTGTTAAAACTGACTCAAGAAGTTAGGAAGACTGAAAAGACCTAAAACAAATTAAGATTCTGTATTAAAATTTAAATGAAGAAAGCTCCAAGCAGAATGGCCAAAATTGTGAATTCTATAAAAATATTCTCAGAAGTAATACTAATTTTTCTCAAACTCTTTTGTGACATAGAGGAAACTTTGCACAAATAATTTTCTGAGGCCAGTATTGCCATAACATCAAAGATAGAAAAGAATGAAAAGAAAATGCAAATAAAACTATAGACCAATATCCTTCATGAACACAGACACAAATATCCTTAATACAATATTAGAAAAAATCAGTAGCATATGAAAAGAGATAAAAACATGAACAAATAGGATTTACTTAGGAATGCAAAGTTGGTTTAAGATATGAAAATCAAGTGATGTAATATACGATCTTAGTAGAATCAACAAATGCAGAAAAAGTATTTGACAAAATAAGATACTGACTCAATTAAAACTCTCAATTAACTAGAAATAAGTAAAGCTTCCTCAAACTGATCAAGGATCTCTATAAAAAATATATAGTAAATGTCTTACTTAATAATAAAAGACTAAATATTTTCCTCTTAAAATCTGAAACACAACAACGATGTCTACTCTCATCAATACTATTCAAAATTATAACCAGAGGTTCTTTATACTACAATAAGATTATAAATAGATAGATAGAGATAGGAACATACATCCAGATTGGAAAGGACAAAATAAAAGTGTTTTTCTCAGCAGACTACATCACTATCTATATAGAAAGCCTGAAGATTTCACAATAAATCTACGAGGACTAATAAAGAATATTCTATACCATTCATACTATATTCTATACCACAGGAAATAATTCCATTCATAGTAGCATCAGAAAGAATAAAATATTTAAAAGTAAATGTAACAATAGAAATCCAAGATTTGTACACTAGACTAGAAAACACTTCTCTGAGAAATTAAATATCTAACTGGAAAAATTTCCGAGCTGGTGAACATGTGACCATTTTTTCACAGGAGAGGACATGGGAGCATCACGTCCTTTCCCATACCTTGCCCTGTGCATCTTTCATTTGGCTGTTCCTAAAGTATATCCTTTTATAATTAGTGATCTAATGAGGTAACTGAAAGTGAATCATCAAGAGAGATTGTTTCCATCAGTAGGGCTAGTGGGTACCAGAATTAACAACTTGGCATATCTGATTATTTGCCCTGTGTTCTTGTCTTTATTCCATGCTGCTACCTCCTCAGGTATTTTTGTTGTAGATCAGATAGTCACGTGAGCACAGCTGAACTGAGTAAGGCTAGTCAGTGATACCTAGCACATCATCTGGAGGGGCTCTAGTGGGTTCTAGGACTCTAAAATGGACACATGATGGGATCAGTTTCCGGGCAAGAGAGCAAAAGGACTAAGGGACCCCCAAAACCCAGAGCAGAGCTGAACCCCTTCTGATCACGATCTCTGAATATTCACACTGTGGAGCCTGGCATCAGAGCACATCTGGAAGACATGGCACATATGAGCCAGCAGGCCAGACACAGCAGGGCAGAGAGGGGAGGACAACTTGTGTGTTTTTAATGTGATGCACACATGATTTAAATAATTCATTTATTTTAGCATTATGTGAAGAGACCACTTGTTAGTTTTAGTGATTTAGACAAGCCCACTAAGCATCAAAATAGAAAAATTTTCATTAGTACTTGAGCAAAGACATCAGATTTTAAAACATTACCGCCAGTGTGAAAGTGCTAATGAGATGCAAAAGTGGCGTCATTTTGATTCTGACTTTAGCCACACAAAGCCATTTCCAGGGTTCAAAAGAAAGAAGAAATTGTGGTGGGGGTGTGTAACATGTGATTTTAGTTGCTGCTGTATGTTTAAAAAATTTTAAAAGCCTATGATATGTGTTTTGAACATTTACTTGTTTTATACCATAATAATCTACCATCAATTTTCAAAACAAATGTATTTGTTTCTAAGTATATAACCATCAACAAAGACAGAAATAGAAAATAATTAAATGCAAACAGAAGACACTTTACCTAACCATATGTGAATTGTTAATAAAGCACACAAAAAAGTGCAAAAAGAATCCAAGTTCTTTAAACAGCATAGTCTTAACTGCACACCCTCCCCAGAAGAATGGATAAAGAGAGGGAGAGAAAAGAAAAACACTGAAAAGAAACCTTGAACTTCACTTGATGAATTTGTTTTATTGAAATGAATATATTAGCTCTAAATACTTGATACAAGTGAAAAAACAGATGTATGTATTCTCAAGGTGAAAAGGGGAGATACAAATACAGAATGGGGGAAGGAAAGTTAAACATTGCACTATCAGATTGAAACTGAAGGCATCAGCATAAATTCATCATTAAAATACAAATATGTAAAATTGCAAAGAACATAAAATAAATAGACACTACTTGTTCATAGATTGGAAGACTTGATGTTTTAAGATGACAATTCTTCTCAAGTTGATCAGTAGCTGATAAAATAGTCAGTGCAATTCCTATTAGAATACCAGAAAGTTTTTTTTTTTCTAGAAATAGATAAGCCAATCCTAAAATATATATGGGCTTCCCTAATAACTTAGTTGATGAAAGAATCTGCCTGCAATACAGGAGATCCCAGTTGGGATCTGGGTTGGGAAGATCCACTGGAGAAGGGATAGGCTACCCACTTCAGTATTCTTGGGCTTCCCTTGTGGCTCAGCTGGTAAGGAATCAGCCACATTGTGGGAGACCTGAGTTTGATCCCTGGGTTGGGAAGATCCCCTGGAGAAGGGAAAGGCTACCCATTCCAGTATTCTGGCCTAGAGAATTCTGTGAACTGTATAGTCCATGGGGTCACAAAGAGTTGAACACAACTAAGCAACTTTCACCTTCACTTTCAAAATATATATGGAAGTGAAAGTGACCTAGAATAGTCAAAACACTTTTGAAAAAGAACAGTGTTGGAAGACTCAACCACCCCCAATTTCAAAACTTACTCTAAAGCTATAGTAATCAAAACAGGGTATGGTGAGTTAATGAGTGTTAAGAGTAGCATTATTCATAATTGTCAAATGCTGAAAACAACTCAAGTGTTCATTAATTGGTGAAATAAAATATCTCATTGGATTTTCCATTTGAGATGAATTTGGAATGTTCCAAAACGTGCGATATCCATATAAGACAATACCATTCAACAATTTGAAGATACACAACACTGATGCATGCTGTAACAGCATGAATCTCAAATACATTATGCAGTGAAAGAAGTCTTTCACAAAATACAACATATACAATTCCATTTCTGTGAAATATCCAGGATATTTTTATAGGGACAGAAAGCAGATAAGTGGTTGCCTGCACCTGGGGACCAGCCTGGGGACTGACTGCAGAAAGGCTCAAGGAAGTTTTTTACATTGAAGAAAATGTTCTAAAACTGGGTTATAGTGATGGTTCAATGACTCTATAAACTTACAAAATATTATTGGGTTGTATACTTACAATGAGTGGATCAAGTGGCGAGTTTTCGCCACTTGAATATAAATATTCATTTTAAGAACAAAAAGAAAATGTTGATCTAGGCCAATCAAATTTCATTCCTGGGTAATCTGAACTGAACTAGAAAACCCAAACAAACCAAAAAGCAGGGGGAACTGGAGCAGCACAGTGTTAGTAGAGAATCTGAAATGGCCATGGTGATTCGTGCGTTTGCCTCTGGCTTCAGGAGGCTGAGTTGGCAGAGTCAGTAGTGAAGACTGCTGACTATAGAGAGACTATGTAGGGAAATGGAGAGATGAGTAAGGTTAAGTTGTTCAAGAGACACGGAAAAAGTAGCAGGACCTGGAGATCTTCTGATTCCTGACAGATCTTTAGTTCCAGTCCACACATTTCTCCACAAGTACTTCCCTTATTCTGACCTCCATGATTTGAAGTAATCTGTGTGTTTAGTCAAAATATCCTGACTAGAAAAGATAGTAATCATCTATAAGAGCCTTTTCAAATCCCGCTCATTATACATACTAGATGCATTTTTGGCATACCCATAGTCCTTAAATGGAGAAGGGCATGGCTACCCACTCCAGTATCCTTGCCTGGAGAATCCCCATGGACAGAGGAGCCTGGGGGGGCTACAGACCATGGAATAGCAAAGAGTCAGCCACTACTGAGCAACTGAGCACATAGCCCTTGAAAAGATATCTCTACAGCTGACTCTCAGTCTCCAAGTCTCTTCTTAGGAGACCTCTAAGATAGAAGGAGACAGCAAGTGGGAACTGTGGGCATTCAAGGCTCACTCTTGTCTAGAAGCACATTGGGAACATCCATTTTCCGCCTTTCTATTGTAATCATCTTAGACATGACATGAAGAAAGTTATTTAGAAGTCTGATTCCACACCATAATTGTAAATTAATAATTGTATATAATTAGTTGCCATGTTCAGAAATTTGAAGAGGAGGGTCATTTTCCCCTCATAACAAGACCATTTCTCTGTGACAGTGTTTTGGGTTCTGATAAGTAGAATTTATATTGTAGACAGATATATGTCTGAAAAGTACCTTTGGCAAACCAAAACCTCATGCATTTTATAATATAAGTGCCCCAATACAAACCAGAATAAAAGTGACTGTGCGTCTGCCAAATGTGTAACAGTTGATGATTCATCTCCCTCTTAAGCACATGAGCAGTGGGTGCTTGAATAGTGACCCTCAGATAAAGGCACTGTGGGGACATTATCTCAAATGCAGGCTTGATTTTAGAGTAGAGAGGAGTTAGTGAGGTCTATTGACAGGGAAAGAGAGATTATTGCTTTCTCCTTCTGGTGGATTCTGACTTAGCTAAGGAGAGTATGTATAATAAGATTATAGGTAGGAGACATTGAGATGGGCACGTACCAGTACATAATTCTACTAAGGCAACTGTGTGGGTAAAATGAAAGTGAAAGTGTTAGTCACTCAGTCATGTCCAACTCTTTGTGACCCTGTGGACTGTAACCCAACAAGTTTCTCTGTGGAATTCTCTAGGCAAGAATACTAGAGTGGGTTGCCATTCTCTTCTCCAGGGAATCTTCCCAATCCAGGGATTGAACCTGGGTCTCCTGCATTGCTGGCAGATTCTCTATGGTCTGAGCCAGCAGGAAAGCCTCAAGTGTGTGGGCAAAAATACTTCTAAACAGCTTGCCGTGTCAGAGCCTCTACTACTGCAGAATATATAATGTTACAGACTTGAACTCTGAAGGGAAAAATCTGACTTTTGTTAATTAAAAATAAGTAACATTTATAAGAAATTAGTAGGTTATTTAGTCAGGGTTAATAACATTTATCTCTAACAAATAATTTATCTTGTATGTTTCCCTTCTGCATAGTCTATCCTAGTTTAGTATAGAGTTTGTTTTTAATACAGAAAGCATATATAATTGTATAAAGATCAAGTAACCACTTCAGATATACTACTGGTTGAACGTGAGAATGGCTTCTGCACAAGCCTGTGCTTTTCAAGGCACCACACCCTTCTTAAAAGAAATGGTCACTCCACTTATGCCAAGAGGAAGTTGGCTTATTGTTTACTAACAATGATTCTGAAATCACGTAAGAAAGTGAAAGTGTTAGAACACTTACTTAGTCGTGTTTGACTCTTTGTGAACCCATGGACTGTAGCCCACCAGGCTCCTTTGTCCATGGAATTCCCCAGGCAAAAATACTGGAGTGGATAGCCATTCCCTCCTCAAGGGGATCTTCCTGACCCAGGGATTGAACCCTGATCTCCCACATTGCAGTAGACAATTTACCGACTGAGCACCAGAGAAGCCCTTGAGATCAATTAGCTTAGATTCAAATAATAGCACGACCATTTATCTGAATTTTGCGGAATCAAGTCAAATTGGAAGTGGTCAAACAGGAGATGGCAAAAGTGAATGTCAACATTCTAGGAATCAGAGAACTAAGATGGACTGGAATGGGTGAATTTAACTCAGATAACCATTATATCTACTACTGTGGGCAAGAAACCCTTAGAAGAAATGGAGTAGCCATCACGGTCAACAGAAGAGTCCGAAATGCAGTATGGATGCAATCTCAAAAACGACAGAATGATCTCTGTTCGTTTCCAAGGCAAACCATTCAATAACACGGTAATCCAAGCCTATGCCCCAACCAGTAATGCTGAAGAAGCTGAAGTTGAATGGTTCTATGAAGACCTACAAGACCTTTTAGAACTA